TTTTTTTGAAACTATTTATATTATATTATTTTCAAAACTATATAATATATTGTTTTTCAAAACCCTTGTTTCAAATATATATATATAATTTTCAAAACTATATAATATACGATTTTTCAAAACCCTTTTTTATATTATTTTATTTATACTATACTATATATTACTATACATAATTATTATAAAAAATAAAATAAAACAACCAATAAAATGAAGCAAAATCCTCGTACGAAAACACGTTTCTACATGTGTGTTGCGTGAAAACTGAGGGGCAGCACCGTAAATGAGGCATGGTGAGTTTTGAGATGTTTATTGAATAATACAGGCTGGCGTTCCAGAGTTGCAGCTGCTCGTGTCTTCTTTAGCCGCTTTCTGTTTCATTAGCTTCCTTCGAGGTTCACACTCGACACTTTCTATTCGCTTATTTTTCTAGCGTGGAGTTGCCTATGATTTTGATTCTTTTTAAATAAAAAAAATTCTAAAAATAAAAATGAAGATGTCCAAAAAGTGAGTTTAGGTGGAACTATGAGTATAGGATTTAGTTGTTATATAAATCATGATTATAATATAATGTATTCGTTCAAATATCAATAACATCAAGAATTATATCATGGTTTATCATAGAAGAAACAAAGAAGATTGGTCTCCGAGAAGACCCAATGAGCTAAAGAGTGTGCCACCCTATTCACCTCTCAATGCATATAGAACATTTTTGAAATCCAGGTGGTTAGCAAGTGCTGCATGTGCCTAGTTGAGAAGCAAGCCCATGACCGAGATGTCTTCTCTTCCATTAGTTAAACGGTTGACAATAGAGATTACGACTCCTTCAAAGATTACATAATTTCCGTCATTCTCGATTGTCATTCTTACACCATGAACAAATGTAATTACTTCACTCAATTCAGGAGTTTAAGGAGACTCGAGCTTGTGAGAGAAATTGTTGGTAAAATACAAACTGCAAAATAAAATCGTTAGCAAACTGAAAATTTATAAAAATAAATAAACAATAAAACAAATAATCATGTCGTAATATTAATCACTGTCTTTGAAACAAATTCATCTCGATGTGTGTAATCGTTTTAATATATGGTTGTCCCTCGAGATTAGTATGGTCTCTATCTGTACACTCAAAAATCTGAGTGGACTAACTGTGGTATTGTTTCTAACTTAGAACTTAAATAAACTCAAAAAAAAAAACAAGGAAAGAAAATATTTGAATGAGTAAAACACTTTGAAAAAAATGTTTTTGGATAATTGAAAAACGAAAAGCAGTCTTGGTAATATAGGCTCAGACCTCAAGGTAAAATGGGTAAACTGAAAACAAAGCTGGAAATCCTCTAGTAATTAAATCAATTTTAATTACTGATTAAATAGTTGTTATAACAACTTAAGTAAACATTTGTATTTGGATCGAATCTCATCCAGGTACACTGTTTCATCAGTCAGATTATTAGCTGTCACATAACATCCCACCTAATAACTTGCAACTCTTTCTCTAATTATCTTAATTAATCAACAGAATAATTACGGATAATTACAATAATTTATAAATAAGATTGATGCCTTTACAACTGATATATACATTGAAAACAGTATTTGTTTCAAATTTTATTTTCTCAAAAAAAATTCTTATGAATTTCCTCTTAAAAGATAAAAGCTGTGCAAACATATCGAGGACATGTATTAACACGATAACAACCACGACTACTCAAACGGATGGCGGCGAAAACGCACCGTGTGAGAGATTTATCTTGCCACATTAAATAGAGGAAAATGAAGACTCTTTAAATACCATTTTCAAGCGATATTCCCTCCCAATGTGGGACACAATGCTCTAACTCCCTTGATCATTACCAACAGAATCCCGCCAAGGACTGTACCATGAAGATCGTGAGCTACTCTACCTATGGTCGCCTCACCAGTTCTTGCACTAAAAGCCCCGTCCATATTTATCTTCAGCCAACCATCGGGCACCTCTAAAGATGCCGTGAGGGAGTGCTCATGAGAGTTGTAGCGCCATTTCTCACATTGGCTTCGAGGAAAGCATATGCAAGAACCATAGCATTATTAATGAATTCATTTATTTCGTATGTTCCAAAAGTTCCAGAGTAATGTGATCAATATAGCAAAACACGTTTGGTCCAATGATGAAACAACTTCTTCCAACCACTATTTGCACGATTGTGCTTGTCAACTCATGATCGAACAACTCACACCCGAGAGGGAGAGAACAGAGCGTGACGTGGGATAATCTTTGAGAGCTTAAAGTGTGATCTCCACTACCCTGTTGCACATCAGGCAAACATCCTCCCAATTCTAACGATCACTAGCTTGTCCCTGGTTGGAAAGATGTTGTGACAAATTCTTTAGTTAAATATTTTAATTTTTGGTAGAGTGGGTAGCTTGGAAAGACATTTCCAAATTCTTGAACAGTCTTGAGTATTCCCTTTCATCATTAAAAACCAATTATATCTCGAATTAGTAAAGTAACTGATAACTTTCTAAAAGAGTTATTATCTAGGGTTTTTTTATTTATGTTGAGCTTGAACTTTAGCATCATTGTGATCATTTTAAGTTTATTTTAGCATATTTTACATCATTTGCATGTTGGGAGTGAATTGTTAGTTATTGGGTTGAATTTAAATTTTTTTCTATGAATTGTTACTTTAATGATGTGACATTGTTTAATGTTGCAGATGTAGATATGAATCAATGCAAGATAGAATTGCTAAGTCGATTTTGTAGCAATTGATGACTCATTATGTGGTTAGAGGAATCATCTAGAACAACCAATTGTTACTTTTTTAGATAATATCAAGGCTAGAAAATGTAGAAAACTATGAAATTTTCTATTTTGACAAAGCTTTAACTATTTTGGTCTATAAATGGAGAAGAAAATCACACTTTCCATGCTCTATCTTGTTCATCATAATTTTTCAATTTTTATTCCTCAACCGTAGCAGCCATGGCAACGTAAAACCATCGTTGAGGAGGGCACTGAGTAGATGTGAAGCAACTCAATCATTAGAAGTGATGGCCTATAACACCCCAAATTTCGGGTTAGTAGTTTTAGATTTACCCGAGAAGTATGTGGACTCCGAGGATTTCATGATTGAAGTCATTGGGCTGAGTGAAGGCTTAATTGGATGAGAATTGTGCCCAATGAACCATAAAAAGGGGTATTTTTACATAGTAGAAAGTTGAGAATGACCAAAAGTGTAATTAAACCATTTTAAAAAGATGAAAAGTTTCATCTTCTTCTCTTCGCTGTCTTCATTCTCATTTCTCTTCTTCCTTCTCATCTTCTCTAAGTTCCATAGCTAAGGGTGAGTCCTTTGAGCCATTTCCTACTTCTTTTAAGCTTCATTTTTGTCCTCAATCCCTCCAGCAAACTTGTTTTGTTGTTTCAAAGTCTTGGGTTCTTTATAGCTAAAGATAAAGTGGGGATTTATCATCCAAGCTTTGAAGGAGAGTGAAAGCTATTTAAAGGAGCTTTATTTCGGTATTCTAGCATCAATGTAGTGTATTTCTAATCGTTTGTGATGTTAAGGCTTTCATAAGCATGAAGATTTGTTAAGATTTGAGTATTGAGCAATTTAGAGTTTATGCTTGATTTCATGATTAAATGACTTTTTTGATGAAAAATGTGTGTTTTTATGACACTTTATGACCCTTAGTAACTTTCTAAAGCTTTAGCACGTTATTAGGAACCAAACTAAGACATTTATGATTTGTTTTGGGTGTTTCTCGAGCTTAAACAAGGCATTTTTGGGTTCAAGTATTGATACTGGATGAATTGGACGAAATTTGGGAATTTCTGTCATGGAGTACCGATACTGAGGGGGAGAGTATCGGTACTACCAATACAATATCAATATTGACGATACCTGGTATCGATATTGAGCTAATTTTCAACAAATATAAGTTATTTTTTGTACCAATACTCATGAGCGTATTGATACTTGATCCTATGGTGTCTATACTACAAGTAGAATATTGATACTACCCACTTTGGATGGTTAGATTTGACATCGTTAAGGCCACTACAAAAAATTTGTTAATTTTTTGTGTTGAAAATATTGTCATTGAAACCTACATTTACATTACTATTTGTATTTTGTGACATAAAATTCGACGTCTTGGCGTTCGTCACCCTAAGTGTGTGTCAAGGTGTGTCACTAAATGTCTAGCGTGACGATGTATCTTTTTATCGTCACTTATTGTTAAATATATAATGACGTTTTTATATAACGTCACCTTATAATTTGTATTCAGTGACAACTAATTGCGTCACTAAATGAAATAAAATTTTGTCATTAATCATTCATATTATCACTAATAATATTAAATTTTTATTGTATAAACGACGAAGAAAAGATCGTCGTAATTCTTTGTTTAAATTTAAAAAAAAATTAAAAAATAAAAATTTAAAATTACAATAAAAGTCTAAAATTTTATATATATAAAAATAAAAATAATATTTTGATATATTACAATAAAGACCAAAACTTTTATAAATTACAAACAAATGCCAAACATTTTATAAATTACAAAAAATTCCAAAACTTTTTATAAATTACAACAAATGCCAAAAAAAATTAAAAATTACAACAAATTCCAATTGTTTTTATAATTACAACAAATTCCAATTGTTTTTATAAATTACAATCAAAGAAAAAACTTCTAATAAATTACAATAATGACTTGAGAGGAATTTCTCGAACAAACTCTATCACTAGAACTGCTTCCAAACGAATATCAAACAATTCCAACATCATCTCAAATTCAAGATGGATCGGTTTGACAATACCACAATTTCCTTCCAGAATGGATTTGCAAATATTGGAACCATGGAAGATGAATTTACTTCATTCGTAGCACCAATAACAAGTTTACTTGAAGAAATACTCGGCAAGAGCAAGTATTGAACTCGAAAACTAGCATATACCGTCCCAGTAAATAAGATATGAGGAGACTTCTAGGTCAAATGCATCTGTGTTTTCCTTGTTTAACTTTTCCCAGACGAATAAGATCAAACTTCCTGTGCACATATCAATAGCAAAGTATGGGCCAATGTAGAAAGGTATTGCCATTTCCATGGGAATGATGTATCCACATTTCATACTCACCATAACCTTAATGAAGTTTATCAAGATGACTACAGAAAAAAAACCCAAAACAAAGTGAGAAGCAAATTTTTGATAGAGCAGAGAACCTAAACCCCAATAATGCCATGTTACAATAAACCCCCACTTATATTAATATAAAACTAAAGTTCTTTTTTTAATTGTAAATTATGTGATGCCATTTACTACATTGAATGGAATAATCATGTTTTCATCACATGCAATGAAAAACGATTGTTATATCCCAACTACAAAGCATTTTAATCCATGTTCACATGGTACAATTGAAACGAGTAGATGGCTTACCTTGTATATATCTAAATGGAACAATTGAACAATATGGAGTGAAGTAACTTCTCCGGTTAAGCTTTCAAGTCTTTCCCCCTTGTCAGCATCTAAAATCTATAAAACAGATTAACTTGATAAATCAATTGACTCAAGTACCCGCCAACAAAAAGATAACTTATGAAGTAACCATTCTCCCTTAAATGGATATAAAAGGTTTTCAATAGTAAATACCTCCATTTCTTTGAATTCTTCTCCTCCAACTCCCAAAATGAGGATCTACCGTAGGACATCCGATGCTTTTACCAGGAAATCTTTGGTTTCATGGATATCAATTACGACCCCATCCTAGAGCAACATTAACAACTGTAAGATACTGTGCAACAATTAGTAAACCTTTTCTAGAAAAAAAAAATAAAAAACCAGTTAATTATATGATTATATATATATGAACATATGTCCTTAAAAGACACATGTCCCCCAATAACGTGATGATTCAATTCCATGTTATGATCACTTAAACAATACAATATTAAACAGTATTAAACAACACCTATTAAGTATTACCCATTCAAAGAAACCAACATCAGACAAGAAGCTTGTTCAGACATGATCACTTAGATTTTCCCTAATGCTAATGTTTTTTATGACGATACATCACTTGTTCAAATAGAAACACCAAATGATAAAATCAGTATCATAAGTGTAAAAGAAAAAACAAAGCATTGCAACAATTCTAGACACAATTGTCCACAACATTGTTGCTATCCCCGCAATGTCTTTTTGACCATCTTGATTTCCAAGTTTCTCATTTGGATAAGTGAAGGCGTAGTTATCCAGATTCCACAACGATTTGTCCATTGATGAACCATTGTAAACAGTTTTTCCATAAGAAAAAAAAATATCATATCAATTAAGTAATACCAGAATACAAGACAAAAACTTACAATAAGAAACCATACGGACGGAATATCAGAGGTCACCGGCAGGGACTTCAAATAAGATGATTGAATGACACGAGGATGGGCACTGATCACAGTGTTATGGTGTTCGCGATTTTACAAGGAGTGCTTGACTCGTGAACGTAGGCATGGTTCACCGGTGATGGCGCGAACGGCGACGACCGAAAGGATGATGAAGTTTAGAATTTGTTTATTCCTTTTCTACATAAAGGGTGGGTTAGGGTTAGATATATTTTATTTAATTTAATTTCCAATAATAAAATATGATTTTACCTTTAGCAATTTCGGAGAAATTGAACAATTACAGAGAACATTAATCCTAAATAAATATGAGTAAACTGCAACGTATGCCATTAAACAATTTAGGTTTAACTTTTTAGAATTTCAACTTTTTATTTTTTAGTCTTTGAATTTCATATTTATCACAACCTTAATATTTTATTATAAAATTCAATTAAGTCCTAAATTATTATGACCGTTCATCTAACCCCAATTTTGATTGAATTATTATTATTTTAAGCCCAATTAAGCTATTTTTTTCAAAATTTGAAATTTATTTAAAAATAAAAAATTAAATATTATTATAATTTTTAAAAATTTTAAAAATATTTTAAAAATAGAAAGAAATTTTAATTATTGTTATAAATTATAAAACATAATAAAAATTATGAAATATTACATTTTTATTTTTAAAATTATTCAAATATTTAAAAATATATAAAACTATGTAGCATAGGTTTTCGAACGGGAGATATATGTACAACGCTTCTTCTCCATGGAGATCTACGCCACTATATAACAGTTCTTTCGAGAAGAATCTATGACATCATAACACAACAATTCACCTCACAAGAGTAATTTTTAATAAAGTTTTAATATTTTATATATTTTTTAATCGTCATATATAAAAAAAGAGATATACAATGAGTGACAAATAATTATTTTCGTCATGTTAAACTTATTTTATGACAAAAATAAAATGTCACCTTTTATATCTTATAAAAGATGACAAATAAATTGTCACAGATAAAGTTTATTGGTGACAAATTTGTAACACCACTATTTCATATCGAAACATCATAATAATAAATCATCACTAATATTTTTATTCCTTTGGAGACGATTTTACAACGTCACCATTTTACCTAAACGTCATTGAAATATTTCCCACCAAATTTTTTGGAGGCAAATTTTGGCTCCAAACATATAGTGACGGAAATCAATGACTTTTTTAAAATTGTCATAAAAGATATATCATTAATCATTAAATGCGACGAAAATTAAAAATCGTCACCTTTAAAGTATATTTTGTGACATTATACAAAATGTTATATAGAAATTTTGTCATAAATTGATAAATTTGTTGTAGTGCCTATAAGAGTTAAGGATGATCTGTAATGGTGGAACTTAGTCCGTGAGGGACATAAATGACAAAGAGGGCCTAAAACCACTCGTAAGGGTATGCTACAATTAAAGTAACCATACTAACTGTAATACGTCAAAGTATCTTCAGTCGAGCACGTATCAAATAATTAAGAATGAGGATCGTTGCAGAGGATGTAATGACAAGTGGTATGATATGTAATAATATCGTGTACTCTAAGAACGTTAATGAATCGAGAACGTATAAGGCGCCCCTCCAATTCAAGGGGTATTGAAGAAAAGTGTGATAAGAACGACTAGAGTATCGCTACCAGTAATAAACCCAAGTCAGGTATCAGGCTAGCTAGTGTTACAGCCAGTGAATAACAAAGACAATAATTGTCGTAAAATCATGAAACACATAGAGACCTCTTTAGAGATAGAAATGACTAAAATACCTTTGAGGGCTAAGGACTAGAATACATCAACTTAATAAATTATCAGAAAAAACAGATTAATAAACTTTTGCATAATGTTCTAGATGAGAGAACGAGCGAGATAACAATTAGTGAGGGGTTGACCTCACTTTAGTTGTCGAGCTACACTAGTGTGTAGTTAGTTTACCTCAGTTGCCCTAGTGGGGCATTGTCAGTGTTGTGTGGACTTAGGGCTCTCAGATATGCATGTGTAGTTGCATTAGTCTAGTATAATAGATATCCTTAAAGCTTAGTTTGATGACTGTGTGGGATCGAGTTAGTGCTTCATTTGAGCAGAAATGGTACAGATTGTTATGTGATGATCGAGTTCCTCCTCCATGATTTACCTGATAGCTATATGAGACCAAAAGATCATTTAACAACTTAGTGGGAATTTTATCGATGCTATGTGACACTGGCTTCCCCCTCAATGATTTACCTGATGGTTATGTTGTTGTTTACTTTGATTATATCTTTATCTACTCACCTTATCTTGAATCTCATGTCAGGCATGTTCATTATGTACTCGAAGTATTACGGTGAGAACATTTATTTGCTAACAAGGACAAATATCTGTCTTGTAGTGACAAGCTTATCTTTTTAGGCTTTATCATAAGTGTACAAGGTATTCATGAAGATGAAGAAAATGTGAAGGTAATTTAAGAATAGCCCAAACCATCTTTTATCACCAAGGTTAGATCTTTCCACGGTTGGCCAGTTTTTATCGGCGATTTGTTAGATATTTCTCCACCATTGTCGTACCATTGATAGAGATAATCAAGAAATCAATTAAATTCAAATGGGGACCACAACAACAAGAAGCTTTCGATCTTATAAAAGGTAAGTTATGTTATGCACCCATTCTCCATCTTTTCGATTTTTCTAATACTTTCGAGCTAGAATGTGATGCTTCTAGTATAGGTATAGGCACAATACTCATGCAGGAAAAACAACCTATTGCTTATATTAGCGAGAAGTTAAAAGGAGCGCAACTCAAATACTCGACATATGAAAAAGAACTCCTTGCACTTGTTCGTGCACTTGAAGTTTGGCAACATTATCCACTTCCTAAAGAGTTTGTCATACATACGAACCATGAATCGCTCAAATGGTTAAACAATCAAGGTAAGTTAAGCAAACGACATGCTTGATGGGTTAAATTCATAGAATTTTTTCCTTATGTTATTAAATACAAACAAGGGATAGATAATGTTATAGCCGATGCATTTTCCCGAAGGTACACACTCATTACTAAAATGCATGCTACTATTCTAGGCTTTGAACATATTAAAGAACTTTATTCTTCTGACCCAAACTTCTCCAAGATTTACAACCATTGTTCAAAATGTGCTCTTAACAAGTTTTATCTTGTAGATGGATTTCTTTTTTGACTAAACAGGTTGTGCATGCCACAAGGTTCCTTACGAGAGTTCCTATTCTATGAATCACACTCAGGAAGACTAATGGGACACTTCGATGTTAACAAGAAGCTCGACATGATCATGGAACACTTCTTTTGTCCCCACATGAGAAAAACCATATAAAATGTATGTTCATCATGCATTACTTGCAAACAAGCCAAATCTAAGGTAAATTCTAACGGTTTCTATAACCCTCTCTCGATTTCTTCATCTCCTTAGACTGATTTATCTATAGATTTCATTATGGGCTTACCTCGAACCAAGAAAGGACGAGATAATATCTTTGTAGTTGTTGATTGGTTTTCCAAAATGGCACACTTCATCCCATGTCATAAAATCGACAATGCAACACATATTCCTGAGCTATTCTTCAAAGAGATAGTACGGTTCCATGGGATTCCTCGTACGATTGATTCCGATCGAGACATGAAATTCATAAGCCACTTCTGGAAAGTACTATGAGGGTAAGATAGATACAAAACTTCTATACTCCACTACTTATCATCCCCAAACCAACAAACATACTGAGGTAATAAACATAATTCTTGGTTCTTTACTAAGAACCGTGGTAGGTAAGAACAATCGTAACTGGGAAGAATGTTTACCTTTTGTTGAATTTGCTTACATCAGATCCATCCACTCAACAAAAACATTATTCTCCATTTGAAATAGTTTGTTTATTTAATACATTAACTACTTTGGATCTTATTCATTTTCCATTAGAACATATTACTAACATGGATGACGAACAAAAACCAACCTTTGTAAAGTACATTCACACCAAAGCTAAACAAAGGATGGAGAAAACATACAAAGTAGTGGCCCACACAGTTAATAAAGGACGCAAACATGCTAAGTTTGAACCAGGTGATTAGGTTTGGTTGCACATGCACAAAGAAAGATTCCCAAAGTAGCTAAAATCTAAACTTGACCATCGTGGCGATGAACCATTCCAAGTGTTTGAACGGATCAATGATAACGCATATCGCATTGACCTTTCAGGTAAGTACGATATGAGTGCATCCTTTAATGTTTCTGATTTATCTCCTTTTGATGGTTCAAATTCGTGGACGGATCCTTCTATCAAGGGGAGAGATGATACATGCACCACACGCCATAATTCCAAAGAGGATGAGCTAACTTTTCAACCTGGCCCAATTACAAGAAACATGGCTAAACTTCTAAAGAACAAACTCCATATTTCAATTCAAGAATTTATCAGTAAAGGAATTCAAGCCCACATGAAAACAAAAGAATTCAAAGAGGGAAACCCATTCATTTCCCCTCCCACAGCTACTTGTATCTCTATATCCCAAATTGAAGACAATCTATGACCAAAATGCACAATCCAAGAATACATTCCAGGAAACAACTTCAAACCTCCTTAAATGACTAAAACCCTTGTAAAAAGTATCCATTACTGAATTCTGAAGCATGGATTACTTTCTCCCTTAGATTTTAGTTATTTAAGTTGTTTTCCTTTTATTTTCTCAGGATAAGGGTAAAAAGGTAATTCCTTGTAATGAAAAAAACCCTAAATATCTATCATTTCCTCCATAGTCTCCCCTTCCTTGCTCCACATGGCATTGTCGCCCATTCATCTTCTAGCAGACTCATTCGGACTGTTCATTAAGTTAAGTTAGCGGGATTCATCTTACATCAAACTCCCTGGTCTCATCACCACCACTGGATCAAACACTACATCAACGGCTCACATCAATGTTGTCCACCCCATTGCAATTAGGATACATCTTAGTTTTTATTTATTCTTATTTTAATGTTATTTTATTCTTTAGTCATGATACAATAAGGATTCCTCCTCACCTATATAAAGGAGGCTCCTCCCACCATTGTAATTATCAAGTTTTCTTCTTTATTATTCAATATAACGAGAGATCGTTTTTTCAAGAGCTAATATCCTTGTGCATTCGAAGCTTTTTTTCTTTTAAGTTCTTTGAGTTCTTGAGAGAAAGATCTTCACACTCCGATTTGCCTTCTCATTGCGAAGAGGAAGGCTGGTTAGAGTTGTATTGTCAAGTTTACCTTTTAATTGCGATTAGGAGGGTTCGATAAGACAATATCCATCTATTTTCCATATTTTATAATCACCATCTTCCTTCTCCCATCATCATGCCATTTACTATCACAAGCCCCAGGGTTTGCGTTAAGCATCATACTATCGGGGGGTGAATTTTCAAATCACTTTTCACGAAGATTCAACAGTTAGAATTTCGATCCGTCTTCTCCGTTGCAATCCTTATCTCGTTATCTTTCCAACGAGCATTCATTCATCAAAATCCAACATCAATTCATCCTTGCCACCCACCTTTAAATGAGATAAGCTTAATATTTCATTACATGTTTTTTCTTTTAGTTGTTTTTCTTATTTTTGTCTTATTTTCCTTAATTTTTTCATTACCCTTGTTTTCTTATCCTAATCTTTGTTTCCCTTATCTTAAAATCAACAACTCAAAACCCTAATCCAATTCCCTTGCCACCACCCACATCTTTCTCTCATCCTCTCATTCTTTGATCGAGTCTAGAGCTTTCTAGGTTTGATTCTTTAACGACGAGCAACATTCATCATTCACGGTTGCTTCTCTATCACGAGACAAGAAGCGATGTGGATGATCCATGTGAACAGAAGAGAAAAAGATAAGAGGAGAGAAGGTCACCTTGTCGAAGTCCTCTCCCCGATTTGAAGGTACAAGATAACTGCGCATTAATCTGGATACAATAAGAGATAGTGAAAAACACAAAATTTTATTTCACTCTATTATAGGTCTTCTCCATGTCAAGCTTTAAAGTTGCGTCTTTATTCGGTCCATTGTTTGATCCTTTTAAATAATAGATTATCTCATGTGTCAGAATGAAATTTATTAGAAATTTGTCGATTTGGAACAAGCACATTAATTTTTCGAAATGCAAATGAGAATAAGATATTTCAGTCGGCTATAATTTTAGACACTATGTTATAGATGATGAACATAAATTAGTCGGTATGGAGTTTTTCATTAACAATAGAAATGCAAATTCACACGGGTCACAAATATTGTACTATTTTTTTTTTTCTTTCCTTTTCCTTATCTGTGTTTGGTTTGGCTTTCATGCTTTAGATATTAACCAATCACGAGTACAAAATTTGTCTTTATTTTCTATGATGGTGTGGGCTTAGATATCATATATTCATATGGTCCATTTCCAGCATTTCATTCCCCTTTACAGAAGATGATATCTGTTGGCTTAGAATGGAATGTAAAATGCCTTTTGAGTGTTGACTAAATACTGATGATTACTGAAGCAGGAAAGCAAAATAATTGGGTTTAAATATTTAATATAATTTCTTTTTGGTTGAAATAGCAGTAAGTACATAAATGTCGTAAACAATTTTGAAAAAGCAGGATTTAACCGAACAGCAATATAATCTTAAGGATAGAGGGTGATTTCTCAAATAGTTTGCACGAGTGTATATCCTCCTATTAATGGCTTCAGTTTTATGTATAATATTAATATATTCTATTTTTATATTTATTTAAATGTACTTCAATTTAAAATACATGTTTTACATTTTATTCAAATCTATTTATATTTATAAATAATTTATTTTTTAAAATAAGACACATTCTAGCCTCTATTTTTAACCTCTTCTTTATTATCATCTAAATATTTTATCTATGTTGGTATATGATTTTTCATTTTTTTCACATCCATACCTACATTTTGTCTATTTTGATACTTAAATTGATCTATTTTTTTATATAAGAACCTAAGTTACTTTGGCCCATTTTAATATATGAATTATTAGACCTATCTGTCGACAAGTTTGACATGTGATATGCGATAAGACCCTAAAATCTAGGGGTTCACACTTTAACAAATATCACAATTTTGCTTCTAGGAGCATTCAAGGGATGATATTTTTTTAAATAAAATGTCATAATTATAGAGTTGTTTAGTGGCATTGTCTTAGTTTTATATGTTTCGATTTTTTAAATTTAACTAGACACAATCGTAATATGATAAATTTTGATATTTTACAATTTCGTCTTATTATAAAATATTTTAGGATCTCATTTTAAAAAATAATACACGGTCTTCGCATCTTTTGGGACGGGCCGAATACAAACTTATTTATTTTTCTCATATTAATATATTCTATGTAACGATAATAAAATTGAATGACTTGATACTATGAGAATATGTTATAACATCGTCTAAAAATAAATTTAAATATTATTAAAAATGATAAAAAAAATATATGATAAATTGACAATATAGAAAATACAAAATAATATAATGGAATTATTAAATTTGCATCTGTTAAAATTATCCTAAATAAGGAAAGTAAATATATTAAAAAATAATATAGGAAAAATATGGGATTCTAGTACCAATGTTAATTTTTTTTTCAAGAATTCGATATGATAAAGATGGATAAGTTGATAAATTAAAATGCTACCTATCCCTGTTTACCTTCTATGGATAGATATGGATGGGGATCGGATTATTACTCGCACAAGTATTGAATTGCACCAAGCAAATGGTTTTGATTTATGAATCCAGTCTCTTCACTTGTTTAATTTAAGATTAAATTAAAAGTAATTAACTTCTTGTTAAATTTTAATTTGGAATATAGAATGTTCCATTTAAATTTAGTATTAAAATGTCATATATTTATATTTAATGGAAATTACGTTATCAATTTGCAATGACCTTTTACTTCCAACATCATTAGGAAACAGTAATCTGATTTATTATTAATGTTTCGCTTAACATTACGATATCAAATCAGGTCAGCTAACTGAAGTTTTGGAGGGAAGAGGAGGGGAGAAAACATAACACACACGACTTTTGTAAATAACTCATCTTCATATGCTGATGTCCAAAGTAGGCCCAAACAAGGAATACTGTGCTAAACATACAAAAACAGACAAGCTTATTTTGATGCTATGGATGCTGGAACAAAATTCGGGTTCATCAGTTGGTTTCTGATATTGAAAACCAGGACGAACCACCCCCTCCTCAACATTTGAGTATTGCCAATTCGACAGATTATTTTTGAACCCCATCATCGGAGGGCATTAACAAAGGCCATCAATGAATCGACATCCCTCTTCTCTGAGGCATACTTTATTGGTTTGGCCGAGTGTTTGGGGAAGAAGAGTATGGTGGGGAAGCTTCCCAACTGCAACTCTTTCTGCGCGTACTCCTTATGCTCACCATCGCCTCTGAATTTTGCAACCTTCACCCCAGAACCTTCCAGCTTCTCAGCCAATGCAACGTATGATTCTTCCATTGCCTGTTTGAAATTTGTACTTTAATCCGTCAGATTAAAAAACAACATTTTTCAATCTAATTCTGCTTAGCATGAAGCAGGGAGTTACCTGGCAATAAGGGCACCAAGGGGCATAGACTACAACAATCCATGGCTCTTTACAGTGCTCCAATCTCGCCAAATTCTCAATTCCTGCCCTACTCAATGTGACCAAGCTCTGGCTACCGAAAATGTCGGCATGAGCAGCAGCGCCATTTCCATTTCCGTTACCATTGAATTGGGCAGAACTGTCTTCTTTCAAGTTGCCTTTATGAAGGCCACACTCCTTGGCCTTGGCATCTTCCCACCACCACCTTCCTTCCCTTTCATGTTGTCCTGGTAATACTGGTCTAGTGCAAGGCTCGCACCCGATGGATACGAATCCTTGGGAATGCAAAGAATTGACAGGCACATTCATCACCCGGAGGAAGTTCCAAATGTCTGTACCATCGACATTGGCAACAGGGTTCCATTTCACCAAGCTACCAGCTCCACCATCCAAACCTTCAAAAACAGGATCAACCTGAACAACAGGAACCTCTGAACGTGTTCCCGGAGACTGATCTTTTCTTTGACCGGTGATCCAGGCACGCAACCCCTTGAGAGCTCTCCTCAACGGCCTCACTTTCCTAACACAGCAGCATTCTTGGTGCCCATCCTCGTAAAATGAAAACAACCCTTTGCTCCTAACCAAGGCCTGAACTTCAACAGCATCCGGAAACATATACTCGATACGGATCCCATAATGCTTCTCAACCTCATCAAAGAATCGGTACGTTTCAGGGTTCAGCCTGCCAGTATCAAGGCTAAAAACCCTGAATGGTCTACCGGTCAATTTTGCATACTCGATCAAAGCAACATCCTCCGCCCCACTGCAGTAAGAAGAAGAAGAGGAATTAATTAGACAGCAAATTTGCAGTGGATTGGGTTAAGAACTTGGACAATTGTCCTGCAGGTTTTCGCGATTTAATCAAAGAAATTGTTGATATGATAAAGGTTTTCCAGGGTGCTATCAGACGGGTGGACAGAACTGCTAATATTGAAGCAGATACCTTAGCTAAGGTGGTATTGGGTAGTTTTCTTTTGTTTGTTGGGTTTTGATGTTTTTTCCCCTTAAACGTTAGATGTGTTATTTGGCGTGTTTCGGGTTTTTTTGTAAGGGGACTGTTTGTTTTAAATATTACGTAATCTTTCAATTATGAATGAAATTTGAGACACTTTTTTTCCTTCCGCTGGGTTTTTAACGAGGCCTCCACCTCCTATCAAAAAAAATTAAAATATTCCATTACTTGTTAACACTCAAATTTACCATCACAGAAAATGAATCTAGTGATTTGAAAAGTAACAGTAGCACCAACACATTAAAGCCGTATTTAATCTACAGTTTAGATACTACTTTGAAAACATTCGATGAAATTGCTTGGCCATATAAGTAAATGAAGCTAACACATTCAGTCTCAGGGGTAAGGGTATACCTGAAAGCGATGGCGATGTCGCTTCCAAACTTCTCTAAAGCCTTATCCATGATTTCAAGTGGAGAAGCGTTGTCAAGTTCTTTGGCCAATTGCTCAAAACCCTCCACCTCAACTTTTCCGACACTTCTGTAAATCCATAAATGGTTAATCCCGATCAAATCTCTCTATTCAACATTAAATTAACAATTTGGAAAAAAAATAAAAAAAAGTTTTACCAGGAGCAGAGATGCTTGCAGCCTGAGGAAGCAGGGAATCATTCCTTTTTGGCTCTGCATTCACGGGCTTCACAGTGCAACGTTTTTTAGATAGATTCACCGTTCCATGGCGATCCGCTAGCCGGAGTGAACCAAATGACAAACTGAAAACCCCAAACAAAAGCATCAGTAAACATAATTGAGATTTGAGCCCCATCCCCACCCTGAAAACCTTTTTAAAAATGAATTTGAAGTACCTTTGATGTCTGAGGACGAACTAGAACGAGAAAAGCTGGAACCGGAAATTGCAGCCGAAGAAGAAGAAGAAACAGTAAAAGCCATATCCGAAAATTATTCCTTTGTTTACAGGAGGCAGAGAAAAACTTTGGCTTTCCCTCAGATTCTGTTTTATTTATTTATTTCTGTGTTCAGCGTTTGCGAGGGAGGGAAAGAGGGGTAAAGGATTAAATAAGACGGGGTTACCAGGTTCATTGAACCTGGACGCAATTTTGGACAACATGAAATTTCTTACGTGGCTGATTTTGGTTGGTTGGATCTTAATATAGTGGGCTCATCGCTTCCGTCACGTGGCCTGCACAAGGGTACGATGTCAATGTAAAGACGGTTAAGTTTGTGTTTGGAGGTGGAAAAACGGCCCTATTATTTTCTTAGATTCTTCTTTTTTTTTTTTCATTTTTTCTGGTTATCCCTAATATATATTTTTCAAATTTGAGAGAGACAGATTAAGGTGTGGTTTAGAGTATGCAATTTATTGTGACCTCAGCTCGGAAGAATCATTTGGTTCACTCGGCGTCACAAACAAAGCTCCAATCTTTTCCTTTTTAATAAATGGTGTGGAAAATTATCTCATTTCATTTCTTTCTTTCTTTTGCATTTTACATGTAAGATAAATAAAATGAATGAAGTTCATAAACTATCATTAAATAATATCAAAGTGATATTTTTTATTACTAAAATTTTAATAACTATAAAATTATCATTAAACACAATAAAATAATAATAAATTTAAGAAATATTTTAATTTTTATACTAGTTTGATAAAAAAATAATGGTTATTAAATAACGATTCATAAGTTTAATATTTATTTTATAATTACAAAGACATCAAAGATTTAAAAAAATATTTTAATAATATTTTATATTTAATCTAATAAAATAAAAATACTCATAAGAAAAACTCCCACCCTTGAACCTGCTTTAGCCTTTACCCCACCTTCATTCAAAGATTAAGAAACACACGAAATGAAACCTAAAGATTGTGAATAAACTTTTTTTCGATGTCAGCTTCAGAACTCCTACATTCAAAATTGGAATTAGTTATCTAATTTCTTCATAATTCTCAACATTGTCAAAAACTATTGAAATATGCATTCGACTACTCAAATATATATCATCTTAAATATATTTATTGATAAAAAAATCATGTATAGATTTTATATAAGAGTATACTACTTATTAGTCTAATAAAATCAACTGAATGAACATGCTTATCAAGAAAGTGCAATAAACTATAATACTTTGATGTACTTTTATATGTATTTTTAAAGAAATAGGCAATTGATTATAATTGTTTTTTTTTGGAAAATAAGATGGGTAACCATCTATACATTTAGTACTTAAACTATTATTTTTGTTTTATTTTGATAATTTAACTTTATTTTTCAAAATCATATCCAACATTTAGTTTAGGTTTTTTTTTGGTACAAAAATATAACGGGGTATTTCTATGGGTAATTACGTCATTCATCACTCAACTATCTTATCAATCCTATTCTATCACTAAAGTTTAATTTTTTTTAATTTAACTACTCAATTTTCAAATTACTCTGTTTTAATCATTCTAATTTATTTTATTAATAACTTTTGTGAAATGATTTTTTTTATTTTATTAATATATAATTAAGATAAAAAATAAATTTAAAAGTTAGAGTGATTAAATTAGGAGTAATTTGAAAGTTAAATAATTAAATTAAAAACTTAAATTTTAGTGATAGAATAAAAGTGAGAAGATAGTTGAGTGATGCATGTAATTTACCCATAAAAAAGTACCAAGTACAGAAATTTTGTTAACCTTTTAACGTCGATGTATCAAAATGAAACAAAAAGCAAATGTTAGATATGATTTAAAAAAAAGTTTATGTACTAAAATAAAATAAAAGCAATAGCTTAGGTACTAAACGTGCAGTTTACATTTATAATATTTATAAAAATAAATTTCTTATAAGGCATTAACTGCAGTGTTTTGATTAGGCCTGTAAATGAACTGAACGTTCAGCGAACCGTTCATGAACCGTGCGGCGGGAAGTTCGTTTATGTGCGTTTATTTATTAAATGAACGAACATGAACAAGATTTTGTGTTCATTTAATTAAATGAACAAACATGAACATAGGTCTCGTTCGTTCATTTACGTTCGTGAACGTTCGGTTATGTTCGTTCAGTTATGTTCGTTTATGTTCTTTCATTTATGTTTAACCCAATCTTCTTAAATCAATTTTGGTGACCAATTTGTAAGTATCTTAAAAATATTAATTAATCTGATATTCTGATGGCCAACTCTATAATTAACCCAATTTATTTGGAAACGATCGCTAAAAGCTTCAAAACAATTTATATTATAATGCAATCTGAAGTTTTACAGGTTTGTTTTCATCTCTTTCTCTGTTTTATTTGGCTTAATAGTTGATATATTAAGTTATTGTGGGTATCATTACATCTAAAACTCAAGAAAACATCATACTTCTTTCTAGAAATAGATGGGAAGATAAAGGTAACAATCGGAAGTATATGAGCATCAGTAAAGAGAAAAATATATAGAATTTGCCAGAAAACAAAACAAAGGTTTCTATGCAATTTCTGAAAAAGAGTGTAATAGCGGAAGTAATGGGTTTTACAGGAAGAACCCATTAATAAGTAGAAAAAATACTTTGACAATGAACTCTTGTTTTCATAGTTCTTGTGTGACCTTTAGTTGTGGAGTACACTTTAGGTACGTTAAAATTTTGAATGGTGGTTTAGCAATAATATCAGTTACGATATGTAGCATCGAAGGGATTTCAGATCTATGTTATTGTCTTGTAATGTTAGATATGCTTAGTCCTTGAATGATATACTTGTTTTTTTTAAGTGAATAACACTCTGACTGTCATAATAGAGATTAATGTGACTTTAAAAAACTCCCAAGTCTTTCATGAACCCGTTAAGCTAAATTGCTTCCTTCACAGCCTATAAACTGTCATGTATTCTGCCTCTGTAGTAGACAAAGCCACCGTAGATTGCAAAGTAGACTTTTAACTTACCGGGGCTTTAGCAAGAGTAAACAAATACCCAGTAGTTGATCGATGCTTATCCAAATCACCAGCATAGTCGGAATCGACATATTCAACCAAAAACTGACCAAATGTTTCATCCTGTTCAAAAACTAAACCAACTTCCACGATTTGTTAGAGATATCATAGAATCCATTTCACAGGTTGCCAATGTCCTTTTCCAGGATCATGATGTACCTGTTCACAACTCCAACTGCTTGTGAAATGTCATTGCATACTTCAAGCTCCCAACTACATTAGCATATGAAACTTTTGCCATATACTCTTGTTCTCCATTAGTTTTAGGAGATAACTAAGAACTAAGTTTAAAATGAGAGGCAAGTTGAATACTTACAAGTTTGATATTTACATTCATGCCAAAACATTGTAATATCTTTATCAGATACTGCTTCTGTGTTAAACAAAGCTTTTCTCTCTGTTTATCTCTACTTATCTCCATACCTAGATCTTTCATTTCAAATTCTTGATTCAGCTGAGCCTTTAATGTGTCTATCCGCTTTTGACTCTTCGAAAGGATCAACATATCATTAACGTACAAGGGAAATGAAAGATCCATCTTTGAGATTGTACAAATACACACAATGATCATATTTGCTTCTAGTGTACTTTTGCCTCTTTATAAAGCTATAAAATCGCTTGTACCACTACCTCGGAGATTACTTCAATCCATATAGCAATTTTTTCAGCTTACAAACCCATTTCTCACAACCAATATCTTTGTATCCTTCTGGATGAGTCATATAGATCTAATCTTCTAAATCATCATGCAAGAAAGTCGTCTCTATATCAAGTTGAGCTAGCTCCAAATTCAACTGTGCTACCAAGGCCAATAATATTCTAATGAGGAATGCTTCACAACAGGGGAAAATACTTCATTGTAGTTGATTCCCTCCTTTTGAGCGTAGCCTTTAGCTACCAACATTGCCTTGTAGTGAACATCTTTCTTGCTATGAGATCCATCTTTCTTTATAAATACCCACTTAAATCCAATTGCTCATTTACCTTTTGGCAATTTTGCCAGTTTCCAGGTGTTGTTCTTTCGGAGAGATTGTATTTCTTCATACATGCCACTTTTCCACTTATCAATTTCCAAGCTTTGTATTGCTTCTTGGTAAGTGATAGATATGTCATCATCAACAACCAGAAGAGCATAGGCTACCATATCAGTAAATCGAGCAGATCTACAAATTTTTCTACTTGGCCTTGTAACTGCAAGTGGTTCTGGTGCCTCCAATGGTTCTTGGGTTTGATCATCTTTATCTTTTGATTCTTCTATTGGAGTTGAAGAATCAGCTTCATCAACTTCTGGTATCATCGTCTGCTGAAACTCCACCTGTTTGGAGTATGCTCTATCTGTTGCAGAGCTTCATTTGTTACCTTCTTTATTAGTGCAGATTCATCAAAGGTAACATATCTGCCAAAAAATATCTTCTTGGTGTCTAAACACCAAAAACGAAATCCCTTCACTCCATGGGTGATTCCCATAAAGATATCATTCTTTGCTCTCGGATCAAGCTTGAATTCCTTCATACGATACTAAGTAGTGGATCCAAATACATGTAAGGAATCATAATCAGTAGCAGTTTTTACCTCCAATGGTGTTTTTCATCCTATCACTGATGACAGAAGACGATTGATGAGATAGCTAGCATATGTCACAACCTCAGCCCAAAATGTCTTACCTAACCCAGCATTAGACAACATGCATCGAAATTTCTCCAATAGTGTTTGATTCATACGCTCTGCCACCCCATTGTGTTGTGGTGTATCTCTAACAGCGATGTGTCAAAAAAATGCAATACTCATAGCAAACATTAGTGAATGATTCACTATTTTATTCCTCTCTATTGTCTGTCCTAAGACGTTTGATCTTTCTACCAGTCTGGTTCTCAATCATATTTTTCCATTTAAGGAAATTTTGGAGAACTTCATCTTTAAACTTCATCGGATACTCAAACTCTTCTGGAAAAGTCATCTACAAAAGTTACAAAATAATGTTTTCCTCCCAAAGATGGTGTCTTAGAAGAACCCCA